AAATTGGCAGCTTCAGAGGGTGCATTCTCGGGCGTACGGAGCACGTCAAAGCTCGCCCAAACCTAGAGTCAGCAGCATGACCCGCTGGTCATCCCGGCAAGAATCCGACTTACAGCAGATGTTTTAACACACCTTACTGTAAAACTTAAAAAAAAGAACGCTTACACTGTTGTTATTTATGATGGGCAAATCCGTCTGCGAGGATTGGACGTCATACCTCTGCGGTAATATTTCTGAAAGCTCACAAATCACATGGTGTGACTGAATTTCGGGAGCATCAGTAATACAAAAATAAATAATAAACGACACCTTGCTAAACCTGTCTTAATACAGATACGTAGTCTTTTGTCTCTGGGTGGGTTTGAGGGGGGGGGGGGGGGGGGGGAGAAAACGGCAGTTGCAGTGTGCACCGCCCCCCCCCCCCCCCCCTTTTCCCGATAATCACATACAGCATTAGAAACAAAACGCAAAGCGGTAGGCGCAAGACACTACCCAACCCGAAACAGAGGCAGAGCAGGACTAACCCGTATTTACTCGAGTAAAAGCCGCACTATTTATGAACAAGGCCTTTGCGTCTACTTTCCCACAGAACGCATATCGAGCCAATCATTGCGTTGCGCCTAAATAACATAGCGAATAACCAGATCGAGAACACGATTCTTCATACAAATGCAATCTTCACAGATGGTATCTTCGCACGAAGACTTTATCTCTGTCCTGTAAACAGCTGGAATCATGCTGTCGATCGCGGTGATTGGCAATCTGCATGCTCCGCGGAAAAGCGAACCCTCAGGTTCTCTTCATAAACAGTGCGGCTATTACTCGAGTAAATGCGGTATGTTATAACCGCTGTACTTCGTTTCGCCTTAAGTCCAGGCGGAGCCGACTCTACGAGCCGACGGGACCAATCAGACGGAGTCAAAGGCGCACCATCGTGGTGTTCGTCGTGTTTCTCTGAGTGTTCTATCCACGCCGAACCAATCATAAACGCAAAAAGCCCAGTGACTTGCCCTTTTGACACTGCTTGATTGGTCCCATTAGCTCGTAGCGTCAGCTGCGTCTGCACGTAAACTGAAACGAAGTATATCCGGATTGATTCCACTTGTTTCTAATCAGGTATACAAATCTATGTTGGATAGGCGGCTTCGCTCTGTTATGGTCACTGACAGCTTCAGCAACGCAGGGTGGGCCGAGCCCCCAGCACTAGGGTTATCGCTCCGCAGCCAATCAGATTGTGGTATTAGCCGAGAAGAACGACAGACAACCAATCAGAAAGCAGGGAGCATGATGGGTCGCACCCTGTATTCCTTAAGCTATTAGTGACCGTACAACTGCCATGACTCGTGAGAAATCGCAGTAAAAGGAACGACCACATTGGCTTTCGGCACCCGTATACTTTTTCTCTCAAAGTGGCAAATGTGTAGTGCTCGTCTATTTACGAGGATTCCCGAGGGTTGGTCTCCGCAGGAATGGTGTCATCCAGAACCCCAAAACTGCGCACAAAGCCAGTAATGTTTCGGGGAACCGGCGCAAAAGATTCGCGGTGGCATTGATAATGCTCTCATCTCTCCGCTACAGACCTCGATGACTCTATAGAGCCACACTTCCCATACAAAGGACAACCTGCAGACAATGTCTGAGGCGCGCCTCTTTCTTGTGTGACGATCCTCTCGCATTGGTCGTACAAAAACTGTCTGCGTATCATGTATGAAGCAGGCATCCTGGGAACACGCTTGAGGAGTGACCGCAGATGTCATCGTGTCTACAGTGGTGATATGTGAGCAATAGGACTTTATACTCGGTAGCCGTTAGCACAACAGGCAGGACTTACATCAAGGTAAATCGCAATACTGTATTTGCTCGGGTAATAGCCGCGCTGTTCATGAACGCGCTGGAGCATGGGGATAGCGAATCACCGCGATCGGCAGAAAACTGGCAGCGAATTACGGGACAGAGATTACGTCTCCACGCGAAAAGTGCTGTCTGCTCAGATCGCATTCTTACCGAAAATCGTGTTCTCGACCTCGTTATTCGCAGCGCTTATTATTTTTTTTTTAAGCAGAGCGTGGTGATTGGCTGTATGTGTGTTGTGCAGGAAAGTAGATTCAAGGGGCCTTGTTCAAGAAGTGCGGCTATTACTCGAGCAAATATGGTATTTAGGCCTTCGCACATAGGTATCGAGTCTCCACAGCACGCTCCCTGTGAGCATAAATGCTGTGCGCCATCGCGGCTCGCTTGTAAATTTGAAACCTGCCGAGTTCTTGATCATATATGTTTCCCACTTGCGTCGAATAATGCTTAGCAGAAGTTTGAAATCAGTGAATGGTTTTGCAACTCCCTGTAAAACAGTTCATACAAAAACTCCTTTTTTTTTTTTTTAAGTCGCAAACGTTCAAAGGCTCGAACAATTCACTGCTATAACTCAACTCTGGAGCACAGTAGAGACAGGTGGGACCGCGGAAACGGACGAAGAAGCAGACACTCGTGTTGCAGCTTTGTTTCAAAGCTAGGTCACTTTTATTGAGTAGGCGAGGTACGCCTGCCTGAAGTCCTATGTCCGCAGTGTTCTCCTGAACGAGGACGTACATTTCGCGAAATATTCTTCTACGGAAGGCAGGCGTCGGTAGAACAAGGTGGTCCGAGTGACAAAGCTTAAGGTTGTTGCTCAAACTTGAGTCACTAGATAGCATGCTGCCTACGATTGTCACCGTCGTCCTACTAGCAAATCGCTGCGTCTGGGGCATTAAGTTAAATATCTGCGCTGAGCAGAAATAACCAAGGCCTAAAGTACTCGCGTTTCCCGAGAGTGAATGTTGCATCGCGGACAGTGTTGTCTTTAAAATAAAAACCTACTCCCCGAGACGAGCGCGGCAAAGGAAGAATGTGTAGACACAGCGGGGGATTTCTCCTACGATTCGAACACTTCGCACCATGTGGCACAGCGTGGTCGTTGCCTTCCACCTGCATTGTGGTTTGATGTTGGTGTCATCAGAGGTCGGCCGTCACGCGTGTTCGTTGCAAGCAATCTATTCTAGCAGCTGAAGTTGACTTTGCATCCTCCGCTGCTTGCGCGTCATATGACTTGAGTTTCTAGCTCGATAAGGTTTCTCTCAGTACGAGAGCTGAAATATTGTGCTCGAACAATGGCACGCGTTGGTCAATGGTCAACAATAGATATACCAGCTACCAGCTGGTATGTGTCCGTGACCCCTTCTCAGATCCGAGGGCGCGGACATTTGCGACTCACGGCTTCGATGCAGAGGCGACTGACATAAATGACAATCGTAATCTTGAGTCCATGAACGTTTCTCGTTAATCATGAGGAACAGCCACCATCCGGGATTTACAGTCGAAGGCGCTCCGCCAGAACTAAACTGATCACAGCAGAAAAGCCTCATATTCACCGCTGGGGTCATCTCGAAAAAGTATGATATTGTCGCGGATACCTTGAGACCTCGGCAAACCGATCTGCGCAATTTTCCCGTAGTTACCGGCGGTTTGACGAGATTGAGAAACACATGCTTGCCAACACGTGTGGTCGAGAAGACACAGAAGACGGTCCGCCGACGATCTCTCTTGAAAGACCACAAACTGAGCTATGGATATTGTCTGTCGTTATCGATTCACGCGAGTTGAACTGGGCTTATCACGGGAATCCCTAGAGACGGTAGTGGAAAAATCGAGGTTAAAAATACTGCTTGCTGCTCTAGACATTCACTCCAAGGCGGCCTTTTTATCGAAAGTAAGGTCATAGAGATTCTGTTTTTTCTTTCTTCCTAAGTAGTTGTTTCGTTTAGTACATGCACCCTCAGGCGGGTTAGAGTGGAGACAACATAGCACGGCGCCAGAGCCTGTAGGACGCTTCATCACCCGATTTTGTACTGTACATGGGCATTTGGAACGCGAACTGTACATACAAGCACCCGAATAGGCGCTGTCTAGAGCCGCTTGGAAGCTATGTCCGTCTTTTGTGCTTTCGGTGAAAAAAACGTGAATGACGATGCTCTTTCAAGCTGGTCAAGGCAAAAGAAAAAAGTATTTTCAGATCTCACATTCGATCAATTCATCCTTAAAACATACTTTCATGCGACAGTAGACGAAAATATGTTTCAAGAAAATTGTAAGGTTACGTGTGAACAAGTCGCGTCCCTCTTAGTTTTCAGACTGAAAACTCACAGTTACAAAACTCAAACTCTGCATTCAAACAACAATAAAACGTAGCGCGTGCAACAACTTATAGCTCGGTCGACGCCAAAGGGCACGACTCTAACAGCAACGCCTTGTAACGAACCAGTTTACAGCTGGCTCTGTGTATCAAGAGCGAACTGTAAGCTGCAATTCACTAGTATAATTCCAAAAGCACCTATCATCGCCTTGTGAATGTCACTTCTCAGGCATACACATGGCACCACAAGCCACAGCCAGCACCACGTTCATTTCAAGCGGCTTCAAGAGCCAGGCATACCCAGCGTCTAAGAGCCAAAGAGCGGGTCCTCGCTGGTTTTGACTTTCAGAGCCAGAGGGAAGACGAGTGGAAAGAGAAAGGGTATCAGATATCCTACTCACCACGCACATTCCTGATTACTCCAGCGGGTTCAACAGGTGGGCCACAGGGTTGAGCTGCGCCGTTACCAATAGCTAGACACAACGAGAGAAGCGATGGTGTATGCATGCAGGAGGCTGGCTGCCGCCCCGTGTGGTTCGTGCCCTTTAGCGCCAACCGTTCGGCTCACAGCCTAGAGTGACAGAGGAAGCTATGTTACAAAAGAGAGCGGCTCACAGGGGCTCTACCTTGGAAACCAAGAGGGGAGGGATGCGACCAAAACCTAGCACGTGACGAGCAATATAAAAGTATGCAAAATAGAAATGTATATCGTCTGTGTATAGGCGCGTGCAGGATGAGCCCTGGGGGGGTGCGGGGGCCCTCGAATGCGTCCGGGTGGGCAAGTATCACAGTGTTTGCTATTGCTGGTCCGCCGGCTCCCACGACTCACAGCGGGTCAGGGCTGGCACTCGGCTCCCGCCTGGTGCCGGAACAGGGCCATGACGCAGAGGCACCTGAGGTGGACGTAAGCGCCCACGATGACGGCCAGGTGGAAGAACTGGTGGCTGTGGAAGAGGATGTCGCAGCGGCCCGGGAAGTAGCGCTCGGGCACGCGGAGCGCGTACAAGGCGACGCCGACCAGGGCCACGAGCGACATGCCCAGCAGCCAGCCGTAGGCGAGCTCGACAAAGGCCATATAGAGGCCGTGCACGGCCACAAAGTGGACGCCCGGCAGCAGGGAGCAGCTGATGGCCAGCCCCGTGAAGATGGAGGCCCTGAGGAGCCGAAACTGGGGGCGGCCAAACTTTTCCCACATGGTCAGGTTGATGGTGACCACGCAGAGCAGGTAGCCAAGCAGCAGGTAGAAGAGCTTGGTCCGCGGCTCGCACCAGAACAGGAAGTGGATCCAGGGTGTGAAGCAGCCGGCCACGATGCTCACGATGCCGCAGTAGTCTAGCCGGCTGAAGAACTTGCCCACGTGTTCCGAGTGGCAGTGCATGGTGTGATACAGCGTGGACGTGAAGAAGCAGAGGAACACGCAGAAGAAGAAGGCGCCGAACACGGCCTGCTCAGGCAGCGCCAGGCTATGACGCCAGAGGAACAGCGCTCCCGTGGTGGCGAAGGCCAGCGAGCCGAGCAGGTGCGACCAGATGTTCCCGGTCTCCGTGTGCACCCGGAACACGGACAGTGCACAGGCCCGGAATGACGGCAGCGGCGGGCGGTGGCCGTGGATCAGGTAGTCGTTGTCCTGCAGCCACTTGGGCAGCGCGCTGAAGTGGCACACGTCCCAGCGCTCGGGCACCTTCTTGTGGGACGCCTCCTCGAGACGCACCTCGACCAGGAACTTGCGGTGCGCCTCGGGTCGCCTGCCGTTGACATCGAGCAGCGGCTCCCCAGCCGAGGCCACCGCTGGGCTGTGCGGCTGCCTGAGTCTGACAACGGGGCTGTCCGCGGCGCACGGGCCATCTCCGGGAGGGGGCTTCTCTTCGGGCTTCTCCTGCCGCGGCTCCTCCGGCTCGCGCCAGGGGGTCTCGACGAGCTCCGGCTTGCGCTCTAGTAGCTCGACCACGCCGCCGTTGGCCGACGGCCCCAGCAGCGACTCTTCGGCCGGCACTTCCTCCAGCGACAGGAACAGGTCGGTCCGCGAGAGCACGCCCAGCACGGCGCGATCTTCGGAGTCGCCGCTGATGAACATGCCCTCTACGCGCGACGCGCCACCGTGTCCAACTGACGGGCAGCACTCAGGTGCCGCTGCTTCGCTGCAACGAGAGGGAAAGTGAAAGCCGGCACAACCCCGCGATGACCCAGATCGGGAAGCCGGCCGCGTGCACGCGCTGCTGCCTTTCCGGCATTTCCTCGTGGCCCCGCTATCCGCGGGAGGCTTCCCCCGTCAGCCGGCCGAACGCTCGCGGCTCGCACATGTTTCCTGCCGGCGATCCTCTGCGCGGCGATGGCACGTGAGCGGCGCGCGCTGCGGCGCTTGCCGACGCGCAAGCGCAACGCCGCTTGACGTCACACCGCATCGGCGCGATCGATGGGCCCCACATGCACCTGGCCCCCGCTTGGGCGCCCCACCACGCAGGACCCTTCCGCCGCGGGGGCCTATTGATCGTCGTCTTCTAGCCGACGCTACTCCGCGCCGAGGGCCCCCCACCCACCCACCGCGGGCACACTGCGAGCCGCCCTGCTGACCCTCGCCAGAGCCCGACGCGAGCAGCAGCGGACGATCCCTTTTCCTTGCCGTCGGAGGAACGCGCCGACGCACTTGTCCAACTCGGTTGCCGGCGTCCAACTCTCTCGCCTCGCGAGACTTTTTTTTTATTCATTCGTTGGCCCTGCTCCTGCCGTTTTGAATAGTATGTGTGTCGGAGAGGTTTTGCGTAAACGCGACTTCCCTGCTGTTGTTTTCTGTATTTTTTCCTAGTTGCCTTTTGTTTTGTTGGGAAAACGCGATACAGAAAGCCGTTCGTCCGCGACCGCTGAAATTGCACGTGAAAAAAACGAAAACGAAAAAAAGCAACAAAAACGTTGCCAATTTTTGAAAGACGAGTTTTCCGATTTGGGGGGGGGGGGGGGGGGGGGGGGGAGGAGCGCGCTTGTTTGTTCCTGTATTATAATTAAAAAAAAAAAAGAAGTTATACTCCGTACCTCTTTTTGCGTTGGCTCAAAAGTCTCGCTGAATGTCTTGACTCTGTAACCAAAAGAAAACACTTAATTTCGGCTCCCACAAATTTGTCGCGATACTGTAGGTAGGCATGCGAATATTCATGCAAAGGATGTCAAATTCAAACTGAAATATTGCAATGTATTTCGATGAATCATCTTCGCATGGCCCGCCAAGTCGACCGGCAGAAGTTTGGTTGGCGATGGCAGCAGATCATTCATCTAAGAACAATACATTTTATGTCATGAAACACTCTCAACTTGCTGCAGAATCATTCGCCGCTGAGCCACGCTGCCAATAATTGTTTAAGATGTTAGGGAACGGGCACAGTGCACGAATACCGTAAGTCATCGCCTCCGGCGCGAACTTTCTACCTTCACTCTAAAAAAAGCCCGTGAGCCTGCTTTCCCGCACAACACTCGGAGAGCCAATCACCGCAACTTAGGGAGGCAGCTCAGCGACTGACGATGCCGAAACATATGTTTAGACCAAAAAACGCAGTCTGAGTTGTGACATTAAGCAATGCAAGCGTGACGTTGTGCATTGCGTAATGTCACAATTCAGACTGCGTTTTTGGTCTAAACATATGTTTCGGCATTGTCATTCGCTGAGCTGCTTCCGTAGGTTGCGGTGATTGGTTCTCCAAGTGTTGTGCGTGAAAGTAGACGCACAAACGTTTTTTAGAGTGTTTGATAACACTTCAGCGAACGCGAAACACGCCCACAGGCAACGAGCGCATGCTGAAGGCGGAGAATATACTGCTGACCTTATGTTGTAACAGAGTATTATACACTCTAAGAAATGTCGGCGCATCTACTTACCCCCAAAACACTCGAAGAGCCAATCTCTGCAATCTACGAAATCAGTTCAGCGAATGATGAGGCGAAACATCCGCTTAGACCGCAAAATGAAGTATGTGCTGTGGCATTACGCAATGCTAGCATGACGCTTTGCATTGCGTAATGCCACAGCGCAGACTGCATTTTCAGGTCTAAAGGTGTGTTCCGCCTCATCATTCGCTGAGCAGATTTCATAGATCGCAGAGATTGGCTCTTTGAGTGTTTTGCGGGTAAGTAGACACGCAGATGCTTCTTAGAATGTGGTAACGGCAGAAAAAAAAAAAACATATATATATATATATATATATATATATATATATATTGCTTTTTTTTTCGCACGGGCATATAGGTGTTTATTCGACTTTTCTGGCCGCTGCCGATCGTTGATTCTTCACGCTGTAAATACGATCGTGTCTGCGGAACAAACAATTATTCCAAACACAGAGCGGCACTGCTAGGGCTAGAGTTATTATTAGGCCTGTAAAATTAATCGGCGACTTATTTTGTAACCCCGATCCAAAGTGGACCCTTTTTTGGAGTTGTCTTACGTATCATCTTTTTCGCTGTCAAACTCAACATAAAAAATTTTATGGCTGGCGAAACTTTGCGCCACAAAGACGGATATTTTCCAAGTACACAATCGCGAACCTTGTGTTTCAGCTGCTTCTGTACCACGTGAAAGGATATGTTTAGCTCAGAACGCATCGTTGTTAAACAACGTAAATCGCCACACCCTGAAACCGTAAATAAATTGCTTTGGTAAGCAGCTGGCAGAGACAAACGCGAGCTAGTAGAAATTTGTGCCATGAAGAAACTCGAATGAAACATCTTTTCTGCCAAGCTTCCCGCCTGAAAAGAAAACTCCGGATTCTGCTTTTCATATGTTGCTCAAAACTGCCTAAAAAAAAGCCTGTGGGCGTACGTTCCTGCTCAACACTTACAGAGCCAATCACCGCAACTTACGGAGGCAGCTCAGCGAATGACGATGCCAAAACATATTTTTGCACCAAAAAACGCAGTCTTGAGTTGTGACATTGAGCAATGCAAAACGTTACGCTTGCATTGCTTAATGTCACAACTCAGACTGTTTTTTGGTCTAAACATATGTTTTGGCATCGTCATCCGCTGAGCAGCCTCCGTAAGTTGTGGTGATTGGCTCTCCGTGTGTTGTGCGGGAAAGTAGACGCACCGGCTTTTTTTTTTTTTTTTTTAAGTGTACGCGTCAAGGAGGATGACGAATCAGTAAAGCATCGCGATTTATGATTTTTGAGTGAACTGTCTCGTACTCAATTAAATAAAATGAATACCCTTATAGGAATGTAACACATCTCACACTTCACAATCGCTTATATTGGTACTTAGCAGTCAGGACGTAGTTCTGCTGGCACGCCTTTTCTGGCCGCCATATTGAATTCTGGCACAGCTGAGTTGGGGACAAAGAGCAAACAAAATTTTTGCCGATTGGGAGGCACTAGAAATCAAGGAATTCGTGGCAATATATCTGCCTTTTTCTTGGCTGTACTTTTCATTGTAGTTATGCTTCAGCTGTTTCCTTTAGTTTTTATCGCCCAACCCAACTACGTCATATTTAAACATGGCAACTGTCCGTATACAAAAACAATCTATATGCGGCCGCTGAAAAAAAAAATGGCTACTTTCTTTAGCTCGTCATGTTGGCATGTATGCGAACATGCAAACGAATGAAATAATGACGTCATTAAAACGCTGTGTCTCGCTAAGGTTATCCGAATGCCAGCAGTTCGCTTCCCAACATGAAGGACATTTACAATTCCGCACTACTATACTCCGTTCACCACCGAGCTGAGACTACAGCGAGAGCTATGTCCTGGTTGGGCCAATCATATACCTTTCTTTGGTGACGTCATCACGCTCCCGGCCATACTCACACGCGTAGAGCCAGGGCAGGTGATAAGAGGGAGGCGGCTGATTGGTTAGGCGGACACGTAGCTCCCCTCGTAGTCTCAGCTTAAGGGTGAACGGAATATTTGACAAGTCCACATAGCCTCCACATTAAAGAACCATTAATATATAGATTATATGGCACCGGTGCGCAGCGTAGTTACCATTTAATTTTGGGCTTCTAACCTTTTACGCTATGTGTAAAACTCAACCAAAACGCTTTAGTGAAGATTTGAATGTAAGAGACCCTTCTCAAACAACATCTCCGGGTTTCGTCACCGTGCGTATACTCCGTTCCCCCTTCGCGATATGGCCCTGGCTCCTGGCTTTGAGGCGTGCATTTCTAGCGCGGGGGCGCTCATTCTGCGGAAGAGCGTTTCAAAGCAGCGACTTCGTGCCCTCGTACTGGAGGCAATTACTCCAGTTTCAGCTTGGTGAACACCGACTCGTCTCGGGGACACCCAATGGACACCTCTCAATGGCAGTTCTGAGAAAAGAAATAGTGCGGCTGCCTTTCTCTGACTGAGTGGCCTCGAAGAGTCGCAGCTTGCAGCGACGGTGGTACAGCAGTGTGACAATCGCGTTCTCTAGATCCTGGATGATCGGCCTCAGAATGAAGGTGCTTGCTTACACCTTTCTGACGCGGAATTACGAATGAGGGCCCTGATATCGCTCGCATTTCACAAAATTAATATTACTTCCGCGTCTCTCACACTCCCAACCTCGTACTGGTTTTCTATGACAACCATCCAGATGACAGCCATTTTGATAGGAACTTGTGCGCCCCGTATAGGCCGTAAAAGCTGCGAATACACAGGGCTGATTTGTTCCGCTCCGTAATCAGTATCATCACTTCTCAAAACGCACTGATCTCTATGTCTATTTGCTGGATCGCGTTTGCCTGCTCCGCGAATGCGGCCACTGGCGGGCATCCTTTTTGGTAGAGTTATACTACCTCTAGCCAATGCACAGCTGGTGCAGCCACTATTATTCATATATGGCAGACAGCGTTGTGGCAGTTGTGGTGGCAGGCTGCTATAAAAATAGCCGTGGGTGATATTTCGTTCTTGATTGAAATTGTTCGACGAAGCATATTTTTGAAACCCGGCGTGAACGGTAGCCCGATCTTTGAGGACCCGGTGAAAGTTTCATGAAATCGCAGCACCGGGGAAAAGCAGCACAGCACGCATCGAAAGTCGCATCGAAAGAATCAGCGAAAGCAGACGCCGGTACGGAGTCTGCTTTCGATGCGAGCTGCACTGCTTTCCCCCG